ATACAATATTATTTCAGAAAAGTTTAGATTCAGAAAATTTTATTTAATGTCGGATTCCTTTTAACAATAAACACAAGATCTATAGAGCTTTTGACCGAAATAAACATAATTAGAAATGAAATTAAATAAAGTCTGAAGCCTGAACCCATGATAAATCACTTTTCTGTATTTGCAAATCAAACAATATTAAACAGCTGATGCATAAGAAGAAAAACTATATACAAAATTGTAACAAGGTATTGCAGTCAATTTTGTGTGCACTATCCACGTTATCTATTATACTTTATCCTATAAACACGGGCTTTTGTGTCAAATAGAAAAATATCTATATATGCTATTTGTTATCTACGTATCCTTTCAACGGCAGTAACCCATTAATCTGGAGATAAAAACCTGCGGGTTCATATAAAGAAAGGTTGATTTGCTGGAGGACAACCTCGGCTATTTTATACAGATATAAAATTCAAGGTTCATATAGCCAAGGGTGATTTACAGTGGAACGGCCTGGAATTTTGCACAGAATCTAAATATTCAATAACATCTTCCGAAATTTAGAAAACATATCTGAAAAATCAAATGATTTTTTTTTTCAAATTTACATAAACATCATGCTTATTAGATGAAAGCAAACATAATTCATACTTGATTTAAATTTCTTGAGAAATTAGATTTAAAATTGCATACTCGATATATTTTGCTAATACATAGAAAAGCTGCATATTTACATAATAATAACAAGTGTTTTATCTTGTTTTGAAATCTGGATCTTCTTTTATAATACACTTAGCACGCTTAATAAATTCAATAGATTGAAACATTATGTTAAATGTTTGTATTACTAACAAAATAGAGAGTCAAATAGGGATAAAATGAACATGTTATTTATTTTTCTGAGTCCAGAAACTAATAAAATATTCTAGTTGATTACATGAACGCATAATAAACTATTTACATAAAATTCTTAAAATGTATTGAATTTAGATTTGTTAAAAAAAAATAAATATATTGTTTTCATTATTCGAAATGTAGATAACAAGCAATTTTCAATAGCAGCATACAAAAGAGACTAGCAAAGGAGAGGGCCTTCTATTAAACAACTAGAAGAATTTTTTAAACCTCAGTGCTAACAAATAAAAACAAAAATTCATTAAAATTTTATCTCTCTTTTATAAAATTGAAATAAATTTTAAAAAATAGCCACACAAAAACAAAGAAATTCCAAACAGCAAAGAAAACAAATTAATAGAAGATAATAAATGCCTTTCATCTTACTTTACAACATCATTTAGCTAAGTTTACTGTAATGAAATACATGTATGAAGATTATGAACGGTAATCAATCTCAAAAGTCCATTGAAACAACATAAATTTGGAGCAAGGCAAACATGAATCTCTAAAAAAACATCAGAAGTGGGATCAGGTGCCATGGAGGAGTGAGCGTTCCTTGCCGACCGGTCACACCCGCCTTGTGCTTCTTGCCATGATCGGGGAAAAAAGAAAAATCTGTAGACAATTCAGTGTGTAAATAATGACCTAATAATTAGCATGAAAAACGTCAGTCAGCATTTGTCTTAATGATAGGTTGTACTGTATTTGCTGAAAGGATCATTGTATCGACCATAAAACTTGCAAAATGATGATTTCAAACAAGACTGTTGAAATCCTTGCTTCATCAACTTGTTTGACAATAGCTTGCCTCGTTTTAGAAATATGTCATATGCAGCCTACCAAATCAACCGAGAGCCATGTTAATGTTGTATCTAAAAAGAACATATAATATGTAAATCAAAACACTCATTAAAGAGAAACACTGCATGTGAAACAAAAACACCCTTTTTATCTTTCAATTAACGAACCAGGCAAGAGGTTTCTTTAATTTGAATTTGTTATCACTGGAAACAAAATCATAATCAATGATAATTTCTTTTGTGTATGTAATATATTATCCAGGAAGCAATGTTAAATCATATGAAGATGATCAAATTTTGGTTTGTTCAGAGAGTACAAATACTTTTCACCTTAAAGATGGTTATTTTGATAAAAATCTCAGCATAAAGTAAATTCAGTTGAAACATGAAATGTAAGTTCAAAACGAAGGGCATAAACTAATTAGTCATATTCTATACATTCTTTTGTTCTTTTTAAACCTGATTAGATTTGGTTGAATAAAAAAATCTAATTTTGAGGGGGTTTTTTGTATACACCTTTTCATCATGCTTATTGGTGGCATTTTTTTGTCATTATTTCAAGTTATAAATATGTGGATGACAACAAAACATTTCACTTTGAGACCTTTAATTTTTCCCTCAACGACTGTGTTAACCAATCATGCAAAAAAGAAAAACAACAGCATGACAAGAATTGTAGGATAGAATCATGATTTGTTTTTTAATTACAAATAAGGAAGGCTTTTTATACCTGTACATGAACTCTTGAACCCCTTTATTTCTTTCAATACAATCATTAAAAGTAATGAATATTCAATTTGGCATAAAATTTACAATTATTTTTGGTACATACACTGTAATGAGCGTTTTAACATAATACAGTTCCCAGTGGGTACAAGCATCAGAATTGGTTAGGAAATTATTGATGTTTCTGTCTGTGTTTTGCATCAATATATAAGGTTTTCTCAAATAAAAAGCTATGTAGGGAACAGCCTCAAACGTTCGGCATCTAATTATGAATAAGTGCTAATAATTCATGCTAATTTGATAAGTAAAAGTAATATATAACATTTGCAATTAAACTTCATATTGATTGTTTGTCTTTTTCGTGTTATTTTGTAATTTACTCGCTACAATTGGTCGATTTTTCACACAAAGATATATCGATATATATATACTTTTTTTTTATATATATTTTTTCATATTCTACTTACCATATTTTAGAAAAGCTAATGGATTTTCCTATATCTTATATTGATATGTAGATAGATAAGCATTAACCACCGAAACAAATAAATTGTACACGCTAACATAGATAAGATTTTTCTTTCCTGCGCATGTATGGAAGATTACCATTTAACATTTAAGCTTTCATAACACAAGTTGTTGTTTCTCGGAGACCAACTTAGGCTCTATTTGTATTATTAAATGTGTTTATTTTGAGTACATTCATGTAGAATAAAAGTAATACTGAGAAAATATTTCTTATTGCATCACTTAAAACACAAATTGCTAGTACAATGTTGAATTTTAAGTATTTTTCAGTATTCGTACATTTCATTTGTATTCACTAATTCAGTTCATTTACTATAAATTATTCATTAGGAATATTTAAATGCATTTAATTAGATTGACACATCTGGGCTACGAAAAGAAAAAAAAATCAAATAACATGAAATTTTTGAAATGATTTACAACCAAAGGTTTACCAATTTCATTTTACTTTTTTTTCTTCAAACGAAAGTTTACTGATGAAAACTCTTCTTGCGTATATTTACGGAATGTTGTTTTTTTTTTAGTTTTGTGAGTGTAATTGGTGTATAAATTACACAGACTGGTTATGAAAAAATGCCTACGTGCAAATGTAAAATGTTTGAAACCAACAGAAATATAGTGAAGATTTGAAAAGTTTTGTCCTATATTGTTATATTTTTGTTGCATTACATTCTCGTTTCAGACGTTAGCCTCATTCTGTCTTCATTTTTCCTCGAGTTTCCCTTATATATTTCTATGCGTGACTATACTCAAAGATAGCTTTCAAATAAATTTCATAACTGGTTTAGTAGAAAACACAGCAAATGTAAATATTCGATATAACTACTGCGCACAATATTTATAAATATGTACACGTTCAAAAAGTTCAGTATTGTTCAGATATCCCAATATGAAAAGATGTCAAAAAATAAATATTTTGTATAAGTCTCTAACGATCCTCATAGTTTTTAACCGTTTGGCAATAGAATGTAACAAAGAAATGGAAAATAATTTAACGAATGTAAGTATAAATGTTCTAAAGCAAACAGCTGTTTAATTACTGGAAATAAGGAAATATTAAAAACGTAATATTTTTTGCATAGATTTATATTACATCAATAACAATATGCATTTATGGTTAATTGAACCTATAATTAAAAATTTTTCAAATTAATAAACATCGATAAATAAGCACTTAACACACGTACTTTAATGAGGTATTACATAAGGCCCCACACTTAAATAAAATTACTTTATGCTGTAATTTTTATAACAATCCATGTTCTATTATTAATTTTGTCAGAATTTTCGCAAATATACTCAAAATTTATGATTTTTGTTTTTGTGATATTTCATATTTTATATTTTTAGTTTAATATTAATTGAACTTACATGTAGTCTAAAAATGAAAAATAATTCATACTATGTCATAGATCTACATTTATCTACATGTATGGACTGCATTTGGATCAATATTAATTTCACCAAATTTATTGACTCTTTTAACAAATGATATGTTTAACGGTGTGATCGTTGGGCAGTTGTATCACCAAAAACCCTAGCGCAGCTTACACTTGAAACGTTGTACTGGTCACGGTCACTAGCATAGTTCCAGTAGTAGGTCGTTGGCGTCGTGATCAGGAGGTCCGGGTTTAATTCTCGTTAACGATCAGCTTGAAACCTAAGACTAAAACAGCTTGAAACCTAAGACAAAAACATAGGTAGTAACTCTTGCCAAGCGTCCGGTACTAAAAGAGAAAGTCACAGGTCTTTTGGTTTAGACTTTAAAAACCAAGATACCGTGTAATGGTAGGTGTTGGCACCCTCACTGCTCAAGGAACTGAGTGCCGAGTATAGTAAATTTGAAGCCCTTCACCAGCATTATATGAGTGAAAAACTCCTGAATGGGAGGTAAAAGAAAAAAATCAATCAATTAACTTTGATCACCCTCTTCAAACTTCAAACCGCATGAGACATTCAAGACTATGACGTCAAATGACTTCGTATCCAAGTTGTATTTCTGTTAAGGAGTCTAAATAGGCTCAGAGGAATTTTTGACTTAAAGGCATTGCAGAATATATGTGTACGACTCCAAAGTCCGATGCTGTCGCCAAAGTTTGATGGTCTCGCCAACGTCCGATGTTCTGCTCCAAACCCCGATGGTTTAACGCTGGTAATAAATAAACCTTAATATATTGACTTAATAAAGCAAAGAATAATTGATGTCAAAATCCAGTATGCATGCCCAGTTAATAACATGGAAAACTTGTGTTCTGTTTATGATGAAAATTAACGATTTACAACATGTGATCAATTATATCTGAATACTCTGTTAATGGAAATTAGAGGAAAAACTATTTCAAATTCTAGTTTTGAGAAAAAGAAAACTAAAAGTGATTGAAACTCAGAACAAGAATCTTGTAGTTTTAAATAGATGCATACATGTAATAATAATCATCCTATTTGTATATGTTTTTGTATAAGTGTACATGACAAATATGTATTATATATATGGAGAGGAACTCGTACGTTGCCAGAGCATGTTACTAATCCATTTGATGATGTCAATGAAGTATGTTTAAAACAAAACATATGATTTACTTGTTTTCATCTATAAACATCCTGTAAGAGAAATAATTAACTGATTCCATAATTACTATATTAAATATTGAGAATTTTAATCCTATTACAATAAAACTCTGTTTAATGTGATACTTTTAATGATACTTATTTTATCACATTCCGCGCATTCACTCCTTTCCTTAGGAGACAAAAAATTGTATATTAACAGCTATAGAATCGCCACACAAAACACTTCTATTGCCATTAAAACACACACATTAATTTAAGTTGTTAAAAGAGTTGAAGTATTGTAAACTTTTTCAAACAGTCTCGGAATTTCATTTCAAAGTGCAATATCTTCTATACAATGTACTATTTTCTTGGTAATGCAACATTGCTTAAGTACCATAAAAAAATTATAAAGCATAATTAACTTTTTGGACATATTCAATAGAAAAAGTATTTACAATGTTCAACTTTGCAGTTTTAATTCCTTTATGTTAAATCTGTTTGAATCGCAAATCGGAGAGAGGATTTTAAAACCTACGTGAATGTAGGACGCGAGATTTATACATAGATTTAGTATTGACAGGAAAATATTTATACCTGTAAATATATGTAGGTAAGATAAAAGTTTAGGTATGAGTCAACTGATAAAAATAAAACCTCGAATCTCATAACATATCGTTTTAAATAAACCGAAAATAGAAAAACTTAATTTTAAATTATAGGAAGTTCATCAAACTTGAATGATAGACGCAGAATGGCAGGAAGTTCTGTTGGAGATGTAATAACGCAAGCGACGAGTCGGGTAAACTTTTTTTTACAAATTCGGCATTAAACGTCAATATATTATGTGTTTAATATAATTTTCTTGTACAAAATGACATTGTTAAGGATCAGTGTTACGTATAAGCTTGAAAAGGTACATTGTACAAGCGCTAAAACCATATTAAGTACAGAGTGCCCTTTTTTTATTGCTGAGAAAGTCTTTATTATTAATATAATGAATTTCTCTTAATATGTCATCAACGTTTAATATTCAATTTCATAAACAGATATTGAAAGAAAAGAAATCTGATTAAGAATAACACACAAAGCAAACTTAAGATTTGTCACTGTACAAAAGATCGTGATCACAAATAAGGTACTCCAAACATAACAAAGCGTCAATATTAAAAAAAAAAAATAAAAAATAATATTTGCTGTAATTACATGAATATTATATATATAAATAGAGGGAGAGAGGGATCGGGTAATGTTATCTTTTCGTTTCCTCTTTTGAGGAAACAACTTAAGTGCTCAATTGAAATATTGCTCAAAACTTTTCAAGTTATTGGTGTAACTTTATGCATTGACATTCTTTGACTTATCGGACGTTACTGTCTTCTTTAGTACAAGTTTGCAGAAATTGCCCAAAAGGACATCATGGACGCTCTAGGTCAATTTAAAGACCTTAGGCCTGGACAAGAAAGATTTTGTAAGTAAGGAGAGGCAGAGGGGGAGAGAGAGAGACATGTAAAACTTCTTTTTTGCATAATAGTATTATACATGTATGTAAAAAAGGATTTTTTAAACCTTAATCTTGATGTTTTTGTGAACTAAGTAAATTCACATTTTAATTGGAAATACATATTTTGCTAAAACAAAGGTGAAAGCAAAAAAAAATGATGAATTTCGTGCAATTTGATTAAAGTTTTATATCGTAAATTGATAATTTACTCCATAATACTTAGCTGCTCCTCTACCTGGAATAAAGGCATTATTATAATTAATCACGTTATGAACTCTTTTCATAGAAGCATGGTATGATCTTAGTTTTCACATTTTTTTTTTATTGAGCATACTATTCGAGAGTTCCTTCAACATATCTTTTATTTTTAAGTTGTTTTCTTGTTCTGAGTAGGGTCTGGTCTCCTATATTTGACCCTAACTATTTTTATTTGGGTTTGAATCAGGACTGGATTACTGCAACGGAAATATAGAACCTTCATTTCGTCTGAAAAATTCTCTTGTGCCATTTGAATTAGGACATGCTTCTGAATAATATATTTAAATATATCTATCGTTTTCTATTCCAAGTCCAAAAGTCCTATTCCTAAGTCCAAAAGAAGAACACTAATATATTTCTGAGAGTTTCTCAAATAAAATACATTTTATACAACTATGCGACCTGTAAGAATCCTGACTGAAAGTCAATCTAAAACATTTAAGGTGAAACTTCAGAGTAATGAGACCTTGGTTAATACAAGCCAAAGGCTAGAAAAGACATGTGGAAGACACTTCAGCGGGAATGCTTAATTCATAACAAACCAATTGATATTTATGTTATTTTTCTTACAAATGGGAAATCAACTAATTACTAGAAGAAGTAAAAATCAATTGTCATGAATTAAAAAAAACATTAAAAAAAGTGCAAAAGTCACTATGTCATTTGTGTGCGCCTATGTTTAGTCAAATATATTTACATCCAAAAAAGGCGTTTGATTTCTGACAAAAGCATGGTAGACTGAAAATGTTTTAGCTGTACATTACTGTATGCGGGGTTATTTTCGCCCTGCGTAATTTTACAACCCTTTCACATTTGCAAACAATTTTGCCCCGTTTTTCAGTTTGCCCAGTCACAGTTCTTTTAACTTTAAGAAATAATGCTGTCTGTAAGAAATTACCTTCGTTTCAAATCTACCATTTGCGAGAAAGAAAGGGGAGAAAATTTCCCTATATTCAGTATCATCATGGTTTATGTAACGACTCTGTAAAAATCCATTTGGTCAAATTGGAATATATCTTTTTTTAATTTTCAGATTTCAATGACGGTAGGAGGATGAAATTGTTAAATCTAAGTGGCACGATCCCCGTAGAGTACAAAGGTATTGTAAATCAATTCTAAAAAATGTTCCTTTGCCTCATTTGTTGGTGGGAGGGGTGTTTGGGTTTTTTTTTTTTTTTTTTTTTTTTTTTTTTTTGTTTTGTTTTTTTGTTTTTTTGTTTTTTTTGTTGTTTTTTTTTTTTGTTGTTGTTTTTTTTTTTAAATCAGGTTTCCTTCTTTGTTTGTTATTGTTGTGTTGCCTTTTTAAGTATACTTTACAGTCTCGATAAAAATATTTTACATGTAAAATAATTATAAACATGAAATCTCTTAATTACTTTAGACTGTTGGTATCCTTTTCCTTTTCACTATGTAAATATATTTAATCCACATGTCAAGGGAATGTATACAACATTCCTGTCACAGTGTGGTTACTGGACACGCATCCCTATAACCCGCCAATGGTTTATGTAAATCCAACCAGTGACATGTGTTTAAAGGCCAACAACCTTATGGACTCTAACGGAAAACTTGATTTGCCCTACCTGAGGGATTGGAGATATGTAAGTTACATTGACAATCGTAAATATCATTAGGAATAACTTTTGTGGGTTTTTTTTCAAACATTTATCTAAGATAATTAAATATATTTTGATTCTTTTCTTTGCAATTAAGAGATGATATGAGAAATCTAATAAGAGATGCATATGAATTTTACAAGATAAATTCATAATTACAATGATGATGTTCTTGTTTTACCCTGACTTTGATACAGTATTATCAATAATACTCCTAATGAAATATTTGATAATGGATTTAAGTTAAAAAAAAATCATTTTCGGTCTTTCAGCCGCAGTCGGACCTTCTCGGTCTAATACAAATTATGGTCATTGAGTTTAGCGAGAAACCACCAGTTTATTCGAACTCTGCATCATCACAACAAAGACGTCAGACTCAGTTGGAACAAGGGGAACTTCTGGTTTATTTAAGCTCTACACCATCCCAACAAAGACCTCAAGTTCAGAGGGTACACTCACATCCACCTGCATGTACAGAAAGTAAGGGTTTTGAACACAGTCAAAACAATGCAGCTGTTAAAGACATACGCAGCATAGCTTTAAACTTTTTTTTTTTTTTTTTTTTTTTTTTTTTAAGAGTTTAAATAAGTTTTCGACTCTTATGATACTTCATGAATATACACCTCCATTAAATCAAATTTATGGGAAATTTCAGCTAATATTATATATTTAATAACTTTTCAATATTGTTTAAGGGAAAAAAGAAGGATTTATATCATTTGATATCTTTGCAAACCCTTAGTAATGTATGCTTTTTTTTTACTTAGAACATCTGATTTTACTATGATTTTAAAACTGATAATATCGAGAAAAAATAACCAGTAGATTACAATTTGTAATGTACGTTGTGTATATCCTTAATTTCTGTTTATCCAATATCTCCACTTTCTGTTTATGACTCATTTTTGACACATTTTCCTTCACTTGCTTACACTTCTTTGAAAGTTCCATGCAAAAAATGCTATTACAGTAAAATACTTATATAGTTTACTCAACTACTTATATAGTTTACTCTATGGTTATTAATTAATACATAAATTATGCATTTCACTTTCCTTTAATGCTTTGATTCATTATGACAGTGTTACTTTAATTTGGTACGCTTTTTGCTTTATTGTGCCCTAAAAATTTTGTTTTCAGAAAGTGTTGAAATTATCATTAATATGAGTTGAGTATGTGAGTGTGATAATTCATGAAAAAATATGGCATGAAGCAGTACCATAATGGAAATATGAGTAATTAATTTCTCATTTTTCTACGTTTTAAGCAGAAAAAGCTTCAAAATGACTCATTCCAGGGGATATTTTCCTTGAGAAAATACTGCCCACAGCTGTAAACCACTTCAATATTTGGATACGTTGTGTAAAATGCTTTGAAAAGTCAAACTTTTCGAAATCTTTGTGGGCGATGCATGTGGGCTATAGTATCTGAAAGAAAATTTTACTGAAAATTTATGTTTCCGGCAACTTTTTGAAGAAAATATGTTTATGACGTCACAAGTAGCATTTAGGAAGTCAAATGAGAAAAACGACTTTTTTAATCTTAGTGAGTTTGGAGTTTCTACATTTCAGAAAGCACGAGTTTTAATCTCTTTCATCACTTTTATATTTTAGAAAAATACAGGTCCAGGTTTGTATTGAAATTCTACCTAAGTTGTATATCTTTGACATATACTTTGAAATATTATAGCAAATATGATTTTTGTTTTGGAATCATAGAATAATTATTAATTTTGTTCCTCTCTCTATCAATTCTGTTAAATAGGAAAATTATATTTGATTACACATGTATATCATTTTTTTTAAATAATGAGAGACTTGAATGAAATTAAATAAATTTAATGATTAAAACCAATGCATAGTTAAACCTTTTGGAACATCGAGAGTTTCTGCGACTTGTACATTTTTCGATAGTGCAATATCACTTTATTCAAGGGATAAATTGCAGCATGTTACTGTTGAAAATGTAATAGATATAACATATATGTATATATCTTTTTTTTCAGGTAATGAAAAACGTATCTTGTGCTTCGTCAAATTAACACGACTTTCCCGAGATGCCCTTCAAATATTTTTCGATGATGTCTTCCCTGGGCATGAACTGCAAAATATGTTGACTGACAAAAAACACTTGATTAAGAATGGAGGAATTAGAATACATAAAGATCAAATACCAGTACTTTATCCAGGTATGTCAAATGACTTTTCTTTGTGACCTTTCTTTTAAAAAAAGTATACATTTTACAAATTAAATAAATTAGTATAAAAACAGGGAAGGGAGTGTCGAATTAGTAAAACATAAACAAACCCATTTTTAAGGTAAATTTATGTCATGAAAATGCTTTTCCAGATAGAATGTTTGCATTTTATAATATGCATGTAAATGTTAAGCTAAATGATAATATTATTTCTAGATTCTCACTAGGAAATTCTGATTATTTTTACCTACATGTATAACCTCTTACACAGTAAGGTAGCTTTTTCTGGTAGCCCGGTACACTCATCTTTAATATAGGAATAAGTTGGTGAGACATAGACTTTTCTTTTCTGACACAAACCAAACCATTGAAAGTTTATCAACTACTCCTTTTATTGAAGATAAGGGAGAGCCTGCCGATAGTTGTGAGTTTGGAATATCAACAATGTACACCTTGTTGAGAAATTATGCAGAAAATGTCGAACCTCCAAGCAATGGATGGGGTAATGCACCTAACATTGGTCAAAAACGACATGGGGACGATGTAGAGAGAGTCAGAATTCATAGAAATTATATCAATGAGATGATAGAGTTTGAACATGAAATGGATGATTTCAACTTAAAATTGGAGGATCTGAAACAGGTAGTACAAATGTATGAGTTTACAATAAAAAAACGTAATAACGAGTTCACGATATAATATGGAAGCCAATGGGAATCAAAATCGCTTTGCTGTAAGAGTCAATTCATTTTAAGCGTGTTTGTTGTAAGCATGCGTTATTGTACACAAGATATGGCTCAATATTTTTCAATTTATTTCCAAATTTCTTAGCAGCTATTTAGAATACTGTGAATACATGAAGCAGGACTTTGACATACTTGTCTTTAAAATTACTCAAAAAGAATACTTTGAAAGAAAAATGTATTTCTTTTCAATAAGTTATAAGTATTAAGTTACTTATTAACATTAAGTATATTTATTGTGTATAAATTATCATTAGGACTTAGTTATTTTGACATTCAGATTAAAACTACAGGTGTTTATCAAAAGGCGCGGTATTTACTTTCAGGCTTCCATAAGATTGAGCAAAGGAACACTCAGGAGGGAAATAGAGGCACTTCCAACATAAACTCCATTTTACAGACGTCTGGAGGTTGGCGCCTCAACCAGTACATCAAATACCAACTATTCATCTTATACAAAGACATTCATCAAGAGAATCATTATTTTTTTAGTATTTTACATGAAATCCTAACTATGGCAAAACGGGGCTCCCTGAATTCCGTAATTGTGAAAAGAACGTATATACATGTATTGGTTTATGTGTTGACATTTTACAACTGGTCATACCAGGCTAGATCATGTGGGTTTAAGTGAGTGTTTTGCACATTCATGAATGAAAATATTTTGTCAAGACAATATTCTGCACAGGAAATGAAGCAGGGAAGTACATTGTGACTTGTGACACCATAATATTGAAAAGAAAATGAGAAAATATTTGATGACTTTAAATTATCTCTATGAACTATGATGCCTTGCAATTTTGAAAAATGTTAATAAAGACTAGTAATTGTACGATTGATCTAGATTTATAATTCACAAATAATAATGATACTAATCGTCCATATACGTTTTAATGAACTCTTGAAAGAATTATGAAAGCAAAATCTCCAAAAATAAATATATATAATTAAAATGAAGGTAATTAACCAAACACTCCACAAAATAGTGGATGACAATAACTGAACAGTCTGCCTAGCATCTAAAAATATATGACTAAAATTTAACTTATGTTTTGCTTCCGATATTTCAGAGGTTTTCCTACTATTAGTCTCTTATGTTCAAACATTTGTAGCCGTCACGGTAGCTAAGTAGGCATAGCGCTCGCTCAGTGATCGGAAGGTCGTGTGTTCGAATCATGGCCGCGACTGATCTAAGTCGATAAAAATTAGCAAGCAATTGTTCCTTCGCCAAGCGCTCGGCACCTCGAAATGAAAGTTGCGGGTCCTTCGGATGAGAACTTTAACACTGAGGCCCCGTGTCACGGTAGGCGTTGGCATGATAAAGAACCCTCACTGCGCAATGTCCCTGAATGCCAAGTAAAGATCTAAATTTAAAGTCCTTCACCAGTATATGGTGAAGTCTCTATATGAGTAAAAATTCTCGAAAATGATGTAAAACAATATACAATCAATCAATCAATCAAACAAACACCTGTACAGGGAAATGGTGGATCAAATAATGCTCCAGTGACAGAGGAACGACAACGCAGATAGGGAATTTTGCAGATTTACCATAGGAATATTTTCAGCAGTTATCTCTCTTTGCCCATTCATATTTGGAAGAAATTCGGATGGTTTGAACATATTTTATCCTTAGGATGTTATAACAAAAGGATTGGAGACAAGTTCTTAAGACTTAGAACGTCGTCTCCTTTATAACAGTTATTACTCAAAATAATGTTCAAAAAAATTAACTACACTGGAACTAAAAGGTCAATATGATTATCTGCTTACAGAGGCTATGCATGTACAAAAATGATTTAATATAATATGTAAAAATGAATCAGAATATATAAATTCATCAAAAGCGACCAGATCTTTAAATAAACAATTGCACATTTAAACTTTCATTTACGGAAATGCTGATCGAATCATTTCCCCATTGTTAAACATGAGTGTCTACCATACGTAAATTATCATTCTAAAAATAGCATAAAACAAATCGTTTATTAGGGCAGTGTTTTTCTCGCAAAAAAAAAAAAAAATTATATGTGTCTCCTTTTTTCCACAAGTGCATAATGGACTGTCAAAAATGTTACACATTAGTAAATCTTCATTCAATACACATTGTGTTTTAAAGGTGTTTTTTTTTTTTTTTTTTTTTTTTTGTTTTTTTTTTTTTTTTTTTTTTTAGAAAATATACAATTTTTGAAGGAACCTTTAGTAGTGGATTGTCTTGTTTCAAGAGGTAAAGAGTTGTATTCCCTTTTTGCCATTGGGACAAAAGATGATCTATAAATGCAATAATTTTGTATTGTCTACTTACCTATTATTTTCATTCGTGTGATCGAATGTCTGTAAATATTTCTTTCAGGTACTTGGGTACCATGTTATGAAAAATTTTATAAATAGATGTTCTTACTTTGGACGTTCTTCTAGCAAAAAGTGGTTCCCATCCAGTTTCGAAATAGAGAAAATCTCGTGATGCCAATGAAGTTAATCTAGTGATCGTGTGAAAAGAGAATACCTAAGTGATTATGTGATGATACAAAATCAAAATTACAGTCTTGAAATTTTAACCATCGTAGATCTACATTTTTCTTTGTACTGAAAAAGATAGCTTTGGTTTTCGAGGTATTAAATTTCAATAGCCATTGTTTAGATCACCTTTCAAGTTGATATAAATCATTACTCAATCCTAATTGAATATCATGTATATTTTCAGAACAATTCTGTAAAGAATTTTAATTGAAAATACGTTGTCGATTTTTATAAGCAATACATTATAATCATTAGTATCCTCCTAAAAGTGAGCAATGCATTATAATAATTAGTATCCTTTTAAAAGGTTGGGGGGACCCACCCACCCCAGTACAACGTGCATGTGTCCCCAGTGTACAGTGGTTTAATTCAAACAAATATAACTGAAACATAAATATCGATGATCAAGCCTTAAAAAAATATTCATTTTATTCACATTATGTTCTGACACTTTCCCTTAAGTGAAAAGTCCGAAGTCTGCTGTGGGGTCTTTGTGACTCCGAAAATGTTCATTAACAGTAGATTCCTCTTTCTTCGGTTCTACTTTATGTGTGAGCACAGACCCTTGAGCATGAATTATCAAGTTACATGAATGCACATCCACACTTAGAAAAAATCCAAATATACAAAAGTTTAATTATATGTATGGATTCTCTCTGCTATCTACTACAGTAAAACCTTTCTAATCTGACATGCATATGGAGACAGATTTTTAGTTGGAAAAGACAGGGTGTAGGATTACACAATGTAAAGGACACAGAAAATAAAAGAATGGGAATGAATATAGAGGTCGGAATTTAGAGTGAAACGGATTACACCGGTGTCGGATTAGACAGTTTTTACTCTACTTTTGTTTTCGGTTTCAGGATTATTTAATAAACTACGTTATGATATTGAATGAAAGTATTCCTTTATTTGAATACACTATGTATCAAAAGGCAAAATGAATCTATTAAAACAACGACAGTGTAGATTGTTTATTTTCTTTTTTAAATATTTATGAAGGAAAGTTGTTTGTGCTTTACGTAGACAAACAGAATGACGAAGGGAAAACCAATAACAAATGAAAAAATAAGTAGGACAGACGATTTACAGAAAGTCCACAGTATGTCATCGATACCTGATCGAACGCAATGAAAAAGACTGTAGGAACAAGATGTAAGCGGTATTTGTATAACCTCCGGTCTGGTTTGTTTAAAGATATATTCACTGTAAATACTGAAAACTAATATGATAAAAAGGATTTTTTTGTACAAAGTGCACTTCTGTCAATAATGATAATTTGTCTTCAAATTTGTTGACTGTATAAAACCACTGAAAGTTTGTAGATATAATATCACTTCAATGTGTAATTCAACTGACTCTTGTTATTTCAGTGTTTTACATCCAAAAGCATTTATACTCATATTTTTTAACGAAAGTATGAGGAAATTTTGTACAAGGTACCTGGTCACTATGAATCAGCGCGTTGGTGTAATATCAATGCACTTTACTTTTAAAAAAGTTTTACAGATAGTTTTTATGGTACAATTTTACGTTAATCTAGAGATCTTTGACGAGACTGCAGCTATACAGTACTTATAACGAAGGAAGAGAAAAACTGGAGTTAAAACTAGGGTAACATCAATAAGATTATGATCCCTTTTTCGTCCTTTTTCGGGCAAGTTTAATTGCAATAAAGACTAAAACCGTAGGAGGCGTAGCCATTTGAAAGGATTTTAAAAAAATCAATTTCAAAAAACTGGAAAAAAAATGACCTAGTACAAAATCAAAGGCATTGCGACCAGGCGCAGCCCGCCCATTGATTTTCGACGTCAGTTACATCCTGACCGTTTTAACATTTCTTTCTTCTTTTTTAAAATACACTTGTACTCTTGTATACATCTCTAATGTCGGTTTACCTACGTACCGGAACAGATTTAGAACATTCCGGTCATAGAAGGAAATATTATTTACTACTGATTTAACTTGATGCAACTTGCTCCATCATATAGATAATTTTTCTTGACGTTTGCGCTTTCTGTATTACCTATTTCTTAAAGTTTACAATCATCACATACAGGAAATTTTTAAAACATGAAAATGAAAAAAAATGAATAATACTATGTCATCGGACTTTTTTTTTTTGGTCACTGTCAGGTAATGATATTTTTTATCAGATATCGTCATAAAGAGTGTTTCATTTTCGTAGAATACAATCTGCGTCAAGGAAAATAAAATTTGATTTGATTCATTTAACGTTTCTGTTGGAGATTTTGAAAAACGGATATCTAAGTAGTCATTTTTTTTTTATCATTGCTTATCGAACTTAGTGAATAGTTGACATTTATCAGTTTGATGACCTTGTTATAAAGTGTGAAGCATTTAAAATTTCTATCTCACATAATATTGATTTTATCCCGCCAATCTACGAAGCCCTCAAATTTCAAATCAGTTTTATTTCCAAAGTTTAAGCTTTTCGAATAAGATCAATTTTCCTAGAAATTCAGTTTAATCTGTCTCCTTTCCGCCTTTTTTATGTTGGATGTATGTATTCATCATGATTAAAAATGGGAAGTTTTATAAATTGTTTTCTAAATGCCCTATTATACATTATTTACTTTATTTTGGTATGTCATTGAGATTTTGAATTTTACAAAATATGCCGTAAAAGAGATTTTATGAAATTGTAATTAATAATTAGCTATTATTGAAATTATTCAGGGAAGACATGGGTAAAACAAAACTATTTATTAATCCCAACGTATAATCTTTCCTTACTCTTTTACATATTATAAATAGATATGCCAACGAAGATTGGGTTTTTTTTTTTTAAGTTTATTTTCTTTGACGCTGATTGAACTTTAACAAAGTTAAACACGCATTTTTAACGATAGCTGAGAAAAAGTGTTACATGTATTTAGACGTGACAGTCACAAAAACAAGCCCGATGACAAATTCATTTTGTTTCATTTTCATGTTTTATAAACTCGCTGTATGTGATGTTTGTAAACTTCGAGAATTACGTGATACAGAAAAAAGTCAATTTTTGAAACATGGGTACATTTGTACTTGATCCGGAAGAATTATTTATTTTTCAGAGACAATATCATCTAATTATATAATCAATCCAAAAGAGTGCTTTATTTCCTTTTCTTTCAAGTTCATTGTCAATAGCTCAATTACTATTTACACTCTTTAATTTCAATATTTACTCTTCTGTGAAAGACCAATACGTATTTTTTGTGTGTCATTTTTTTCCCCTTTTTTGACTATCAGTTCGTTTTACATTCGTTTGATTTTTTTTTCTTAATTAAGACAATACAAAACACAGCCAAACCCTGGCAAACGATTACCTAACATTATTTTCATTTCTTTTCTATAGGCGAAAAACCGAATGCAGTTTTAATTTTATTAGAAAATTGAACAGTTCCGATATCTGATTGAATGTGAATACAATTCACTAGTTACATGTATTAATGTGATTGTAAATTGTTTATTGATTTATTATATTTGATTGCGATTTTTAACCATAATTGTTGTCGTCTTTAATAAGAAAATAGAGTCTCCAATTTAGACAATTATACGACTGCCAAGCCATTACCTTACATTATTTTTATTTCCTTTCTGTAGACGAAAAACTGATTGCAGTTTTAATATAACAAAAAATGCAGTTCCGATATCTTACTGAATGTGGATGTACTTCACTGGATACATGTATTAATGTGATTGTTAATGTTTTTTAATTATATTTGATCGCGATGTTTTACCATAATTGTTGTCATCTTTAATCGGAAAATATAGTCTCCGATCGCAAAATATTTGCATTTTAAGTTTTGGGATACAGTAATGAGGACGATGCTTGGGAGACCTACTAAAAGTTTATTCAATGGATAATGTCAGTTTCAGGAGAGATTACTTTTTTTTCAAAGTTCATAAAATAAACTCGAAGTTCGTGTTTTGGTGGTAAATGAATAAATTTAGAAACCAAGATATTATTTGTCATTTGGATTTTTTTCAACAATATCCTTTAAGGTAATAAAAAAAATCATATAGATTTAAATGGATGCTGCCAAGAAATAAGAATTGTAAACATCATAGAAAGTCTTCTTAATATGCAATAATTTTGATATTTATATATATTAAATATATCATATCTATGACACATTCCTTCATCAAAATTTTAGGGGTTTGTGGGGTTTTTTTATTATGTATATATACTGAAGCATTTCATGAGATATTGGTAAAAGCAAAATTTGAATTCAAATATGTAAAATACAAATATTCTTTTTTCGTTTATAACGTATTTTACCGTAAACTGCTGGTGAATATCACAATGTGTACTTTCAAAAAAGACTATATAGAAGCAGAGAGTATACGAATTAAACATTTATTCATAATTATTTCTTTCTTGATTTGATCAATATCTATTTCAATTTTTTTCATTTTTCAAACAAAGTTTCCTAATAAGAAGATCGCAGTCTGCTAGAACAATTAACCCAAGCACAAGACACAGCACGGTTACACCAACAGCTCCCATGGCTTTAGCGCTGGGGCGCGGATCATAGACACTGACCAGGCTCCGTATGTAGGTACTTGTTGTTTTCTTAGAAACAGTTAAGTCTTGTACGACATCATCAATGTTGATTGCAGTGACATTGTGTACTGTTAATTGACAAGCATAAAATGAAATATATTAACATTGAAAAACACATATGTAAACAAAAATTAGTATTTTCAATTGATATTTTGACAAAAAAAATTGAAAATTACATGTATGCATATTTTTCTAATGTGTCATTAAGAAGCAATCAAAGTTTGGGGATGGTAGGTCATTTTGTGCATTTAATTAACTTTGATTGAGATTTTTTGAAATTTACGAAAAGAATATACAGATGTTCTTTTATTTATTGTTATAATTTCCGGTTTCATACATGTACTTTACTGTAAGAGATTATCGTTGTAAATTGGTGAAAGTTGAGTAATAAACTGATATTTTGTCACACAGTCTGTAGATTTCTACCTAAAGATATACCTGAATTATTTGTAGATATAATCGTCACTGATATTTGGACATTATATATTCTTAATGTTTCCGTTCCATCCCCCCATATTCCATCCACATAGATAAGGTAACCATTGGTTACAGACGGTGTCCACAGTAGAACGTCAGTCTCATTATAACCGTACACAACTCCTCCAAAAGGGTCGTTAATCTTTCCTAAACTTGCTGTGCCGGCGGCATAAAACACTTTCCCGTCACTAATTGAGGCATCTTTAACCTAAAAATATAATAAGGAAACAAACACTCTTTGCTAAGCAAAATGTATTAGATAAATAATATGTGAGAAAAATCTAGATTCTAGGGGAACACAGTTGTTTTGCACTTGCTTTCCACCAATGGAGCCCGGGTATGCTCACAGGCACCTGAAGTGTGGATCCCCCCCACCCCCCACCCCATTTAAAGAAAAGCCAATGGTTTCTCAAAATATGAGATTTCCCCGTCAATCAAACCAAAATTTTGTTGCATGCAAGCAGATTGTATTTTTTTCTCAATTTTAGAGATTGGCCATATAGATTATAATAAAAACAACTTGTAAATTTTTATTATACCATGCATGGCAAATTTCGTGAGAAAAGTACAATCTGCTTGCACAATACGAAATGTGGGTGTGATTGACGGGGAAATCTCTTATGAGAAATTATAGACCCTTACTATTTTCTCTTTAATGGGGGGGGGGGGGGGGGGGGTTCACACTTCAGATGCCTGTGGGTATGATTCCTTAACTGAAAAAAAATCTCGTTAGACGGAATTTGTTGTCCTATGGACTTTGTCCTTTATCTAAATGTCGATTTTGTTTACTATAAATATAAAATATAATACAAGTTATATACTTTTACCTCAACAATGACGATGTAGTTATCGGGATCGAGGTAACACATTGTTGGGACTGTCCCTGTGATTAAATCTCCATGTGAGTACGGAAATGATTCCCGTTGAACAATGTCAGCATTAGATAGTATCCATGCTCTAATAACAACTCGTGCAGAATCATAAACTCGAGATATATTGCCCCATCCATCGTTGTAGCATATAACATAGTCCTCTATAGGTTAAATGAATTCTATTATAACAAATGCTTGTTGTTCAACAACTACAAGCAGGAATAAAAGAACAATTTTGGTAATAGAACTAATATTGTATTAAGTGGAAAATTTATCTTTAAAAAAATTGTAGAACGTTCTCTTCTTTTAGGTCATCCATATAACATATCTAGAAACAAAACAAACTCTGCCAGTATCACAATATATATAAAACTGAAAAGGTAGTTAAATTTGATGTCACACAATAAATCGTTAAAGAAAAGGAAAATGCACCGTTTCGAATTTTCATTCCACTAGAGCTTTTTGGATTTACATATACATCTTCAGGTTTTCATTTGATTGATTTTTGCTAAAAGCAAAAGATACAGCAATGTGTGGCTTCATTTTATGGAAACTATAGGTCTGACCTGGTGATAATGCTATCACCTTGCATTGAGTGTAATCTACTTTAAATGTTGATATTTCAATGAAATGGAAGCGCACACAATATCTAATAAACAAAAGACTTTATAAAAATATTTGAAAATGCCATTTTTTTTTTAAGTTATTTTCATTAAAACGTATGTCTTTCTACACTTTAAACAACCATTCCTCACGATAAATTAAACACTAGGAATTCCGACATCAGAGACAACTGCCTCTTCAATAAAAAGAGAAGTCGGAAACTTTCGTATCTTGTGATTGGTCATCAACACACAATTACTTTCTTTAAAATAAAACTGATTCTATACGTAAGTACTTTGAAGTTGATATTAAAAGGTGCTGGAGGTCCTCATTGACAACATCCATATAGTCCTCCGAGACCAGGTCTTCCAACAAACTGTTGGAATCTTGATGGGCCCTTATTGTGCTCCTTTATTAACCGACCTGCATTTATATTCCTATGAAGCAGAATTTATTTAAAAACTTCTACATAAAAAGAAGAAAACACTTGCTGTGGCCTTCAACTCGACATTTAGATATATTGACGACATATTATTAATTCCATTCATATAAACATGTATCCCAGTGAACTTGAAATGAAAGACCACAGATTCTGTCAATATTTGTTTCATATTTGGATGTTTTACTGACTTTAGACGATTAGGGCCAACTAACAACTAAATTGTATGAATTAAGCTTTTTCATCGTCGACTCTTCTTATTAATATAGTAATATCCCGCTATCACCTGTTAATGATGTAAACATAACCCAAATTATTCAGTACTCAAGAGCAAATCCGAGCGTGATCATTTTAAAAAAAAAAAAACGCAGGCTACTGACAGATGAGTTGATGTTACAGGGATTTCAACAACCTCTTTTGAAATCAGCATTTCGTAAATTATATGGTCTTCATAATAACCTTGTTAACAATTATAACCTATCCTTGGGTCGTATTTTTGCTGACTTGTTTCACACCAATTGTAAGGCCATTGTTTTATAATGAGTTTGACTACAGAATGTTAAACAGGAAGACTAACATTAATAGCTTATGTTTATCCTTTTTAACTTTCATGTTATAGAACACAAACGCAGGTACACTGTGGGTTAAGGCTTCCCAAAGAATACCACAGTGCAATCTGCACTGTGCCCTTGCTTCTGTGAACTATCAGAATATTACGTCGACATTGTAATGTAAAATGACGTCAAGTCACTGCCAACTTGAGTTGTTATGACGGGGAGAGTGCCATGAACTTTACGTCTTACTTCAACTTACTTCATCTTACTGCAAACTACATGTTAAATGTTGGAGCGCCTTTGCAAAATTCACATGTCGTAATAGTGTTTTTAAGTCTGATATGTCCGAATATTTTTTTTTTTACATTGCTGCGTACCTTTGCTTGAAATTCAGCGTGTTCAAAATGTTAAGAAAAATTTACTTTTGAAATGTGCCCTGCTTTATTTCCGTGGTTATAGGTAGAATTTAATATGTGTGTGTAAAAGAGTCTGACGTCTGACACTGGTTATTAATGGGGATTAATCAGAAATCTTTTGTTGAAAACTGTAAGAATAGATTGTTTTCTAACTGAATCTGGCTTAGGAAAAATGTGTGATGGCTTTCTTTTAATACAGATTACGATGTTGTTGAACTTCTCATTAAATGTTTTGTACCCACGTAATACTATGATTTTCCCAAGCATATTTTGGGTACAGAAGAATACGATGAGCTTATCCATATAACAAAATGTTAATAATGATTGTGTTAATCGGCTGCACAGAAGCGATTTATATAAAAGACTTCAAAAAATTATATGACCGTCATGTGATCAACAGTAATGTGATATAATGACAAAAAATTAACTTTGCTCTTTCATTTAATATTGAAATTCCTTTTGTATAATACAATATTAAAGATCTTTTAAAACTTGGGTAAATTTTTTAATGCCCTGTATTTTCATTCATATATTTTTACGCTCTCTTTCTCTCTCTCTCTGTATTTTTCTTAATTATCCTACATGTATCTGTCATTCTGAAAAGAAATAAAGAAACTTGAAACATGTACGCCTTATCATGCTTACCATTTTTATTTGGGACCCATAATGTAATTGAGGTTGTTGATATTCCAAACAATACGCCACAAACATGGTTAGTGAATGTATCATCCTCTGTAACGGTGGTTACACCTGTTGTGCAAATAATAAAGTAAAATTTCACTAAATTATAGAACTTTCATTTACCCACTCAATTATCTATACATATACCGATTAAGGATATATATGCACTTTTCAAAAAAAAAATAAAAAATAAAAAAATTAAGAATTTAAAATTATCATTTCCGTGTTTTTTTATTTTTTCCGGATTGGTCAGTTAACGTCCTATAGCTACACTTTTGCAGAATATATAAAAGGAGAGAGAGGGAAAGAATTTGAAGAGCAGAAGGAAGAGATAGAGAGGGAGAGTGTGTGTGAGAAAAAAGAAAAGAGAGGAAAGAGAGAGGGGAAAGTGTGTTTGTGTGTGCGAGAGAGAGAAGGAGGATTTTGTGTACGCAGGTATGCTAAGGCTACACCCAGATATCCTACTTGCCTATACAATATGACGTCATAGTTAGCTGTGTGTTGTGAACTTTAGTGATAATGATTTCTTAATATCTATGTTTAAAGTTTAATTTCAGGTCCAAGAAATGAATGGAATAATTCAAAAACATAATACAAACTAAATCTTATCGTTTTTTTTTTTCTTTTTTGTGCAATAAATAGCTAAGTATTTATCACGGGGGTTAAATATCAAACCCATGACGTCATAACTATTGATCAAAAATTTGCCAAGTGAAAATTAAACGTGAAGAGAATTCATGTGAACAAATATATGAAATGGGAGATTTAAAGTATATATCGTGAATGTTACATGTGATTCATAAGGAATAAAAGATTTAGAGTCAGGTACGCTGATTTATTCTTATATTTTCTTCTAATGAACACAGTCAGCGCTTTGAAATCCCGATCAGCCTTTCTTCTGTCGTTCGAACACCAAATATGCAAAGGTTCAACATTTCGCCGCATACCTTGAAGCATGATTTTGTTTGTATCGAAAGCTTGTATTCTATCGTACTTGGAAAGTGCTGCTAGAATCGTATAATTAACATGAATTGATGATAATTCCCTGATTGTATGTACAAAATGTAAAAATTTTAGAAAGGTTTCATGCGAAACTTTGGAATAATTTTTTCTGTGTCCGGAGAGTAGGATCCTAACAGTTGGATTCTAGCAACACTTCTCATGACCAAGTGATGTTTTTACATAATTGTTTTCATATAAAGAAATGAAATATCCCCGGGGTAGTGTTGAACTTTTCACTTTTTCATTAAGGCAATTTTTCTATTTATTGACGTCACGTGATGACATCCTAATGCAGTGCTTCTTTTAGCCTAAGACTCAATGAGGTCTATACAATTGATAATAACAGTAAATGTTTTACCTTTGGCTTTTCAGATTTACCAATGTTACATTTTAAAGTCTAAATTCGGCGAAATTTGATCTGTGTGCTGCCTTAACATACAAGTGTAAGTATTAAATTGAGGTTTTAATACAAATGTATGGTCAGTTTTATATAACCTTGACCATCAGCAACAAAGCCATCATCCAGAATCAGCTGTACTGTTACAAAGTCTGGTAATCGTCTCAAAGAGTGTGTTACTAGTTTATATGGTTCAGCTTAAAGTAGAAAAGTAGTAAATTTTTTTCAGCACAGCTAAGCAAATGCAAATTAATATGACTATTTTAATTAACTCAAAGAAACTTGTCATACATTATAAATTAATTTAAGTCAAAGTTAACTATTATATTTAATGTATGTTTACTTTTCTATGTATCAACTTTATATTGATTAAGTACCTGTCGATATGATTAGATTACAGTTGTGCACAAAGTCTGGTTTTGGCCAGTCAAATAATCTCCAAACTCTGATCCGAACTTTGCCTGAAGTAAATGAACCATCGAACACTCCGTTAAAAGACAAACCACCTGTAAATGATAATAACTTTGTGAAAACAATATGAACATGAATACTTTATGTATACTCAAGGTCATAAAAAAGTGAGAGAAGTTCTCACCAGTTTGTAGCAGAAGGGTGAGTTCACTATGCATCGGACACATGTACGAGTGTTGTTCGGAAAGTTCGTGGACTTCCGTCATAACTTTTTTACTTTACGTCATACTATATCCAAATTTGGAAGAAATATTTCAACAATAAATTCAAATGATGTGAAAATAATTTTTATTAAAATATCGTGGTTTATATTAAATTAATTAAGACTTTAAAAAATGCGAAAATCGGATCATGGAGCAGGTCATTAATTTTGGACTTTACAATCAAGACACTAAATTATATCTGAAGTCATATCTTCTGTAAAATGACGCAAAAAAGGAAAAATTGTACACACTCAAATTAAGAATGTTTCATCGTTTCCGACTCCAAATTATGACTTAATACTTTGCTGCGTTGAAAAGAAATCAGTTTCAGAAGATAGGCAGTCCTCATTGAAAAAGGCAAAATTGACATCGTAGAACGTCACGAAGCAGCAGCTAACCATACAATTTTGTCTTGTATTCTGGAAAACTCCAGAAAAAAAACTCTGAAAATGGCAGAGGAAGTAGGAAATATGTCAAAGGGAGCCAAGCATATGTGTGTACATGGTACAAGCGGTACTTGAATGATACACTACTATGCATAGACAATGGTGATCTGAGAGAAAAATTTTATTAAATCACATGGAATGAAATTTCACACTTAAACAAAAAAAATATTCTTACATATGACAATGTGCTCATTTCAAATTTCTTGAAGATAATATAACGACGATTGGCATAGTCCACGAACTTTCCGAATAACTCTCGTATTATTTGATTAAAATATGAATTTCTGACACGAATTTCTGAAATACAGAGAGACCACGTCTATTTGTTATTTATCGAAAACATGTATTTTCACTGAGTATTTTGAGAGTATATTTTATTATTTCTGCAAAATCCAGCTGTCAGTGGGGTATAATACATGGAATTCGTGTTGTATTTCAAGTGCATTGCTAACAGGGAATTCCTTATACCTCGCTGTGTGGGTTTTATCTAATGACAAAATTGTATGCAATAGTGAGTCTTGATGTAATTTAAAGCTCCCCGAAAGTTTAAAATCTCATAAAAACATTTCATTTTGTGTAAACTTGAAGAATCGATATTTTTGTGTGATATCATATTAAACATTTTCCATATAAATTAGGACCCGCCTACACTTTATAGCCTTAAAGAGGCTCATTACACCCACAGTTTATTTTAGATTTCGTTACAGCACCAGTTATTATGAAGATTTCAAATATTCAAATGGAGGTTATGATAGGATAAATATTTTTTAAAGATTTTTCAATCTTTTTTCTGATTTTGGTTAAATGTTCTATTTCAAGTTTCTGATTGATAGTATTGCAAGAATCTCAGTGTCAAGTGATGGATATCGTCTTCAGTTGTGTAGGCAATATAATAACACTTCATAATAATCAACATTATTTTTATAAGAAAAAATAATTTTCTCCCAAAAACGAATCAATGTGATTTTTTTCTTAATTTTTGCATGAATAATTTGGAAAATCAGTTATAAATAGACAAGGAATGTATATTTATGAATAACAAGTGACAAATTGAATGAAAAATGATTTAAGGAAATGAAAATTCAAATTTAAAAAATAATTGGAATAAAAAGTCCACTTGCAAGAGTTATCTTTCCTAAATCCCCCTGACTCAAACACTCAGGAACGGTTGAACATATCGGACTCAGAATAAACTAAAATTTCTAGAATGAATATACATTTTTTAAAGAAAAAAAGACAAGCACACAAACCAACAAGTGTACAGTACTCTAAAAGCGCAAGTCAATTATAATTTATTTCAACGAGGTTGTAGATTTCAACTCGAATTTCCTCTATACGTACATGTTGTCAGTGGTAGAACTTGCTGCTTTCGCCATGACATTGTACACTACTTGGGTAGCGAAGATTTGACTGTCATTCTCTTTGGTCTCTACTTAAAAATAACCCTTCTTCGTTTGTGATTTATAATGAATCCGTTATCTTGTTCTCATTGTTTACAACACCGCATGTAGTCTATTTTTAGAGCGTTTTAAAGATTTAGATCATCAGCAAAGCGAACCTGTACAATTCGTCCCCAGGAGAAAACGGGCGAAACAATGGAGGTTTATTTTTCTGTGTAGTACGTCATCAAAAAGTGGTGTAATGAGCCCCTCAATTGAACTGCGTTGCATTCAAACATATTTTTTAAATTTGCAGTTTGGTTTTGATTTCAATGTGTAGGCTATGGAAATACAGAGAATTGGCACTAAGGATCTCTCATCTACATATCAATACAATTATTTCGATATCCCATCTCGGACTGTAAGCCCGTTGATTATGTGACGGTCAATTTTATTTTTTTTTCAAGTGTTGCACATAAATTGCTTCAGTGCAAGTGCATAAAACAATTCTTATTCAAGTTTTGTCACAGAATTAAACTCATTGTATCCAAATGTACCTGAAAAGTGCTTCAGACGAGCCATTGTTTTATAAGTGTACGAAATATCTCATGAGAATTCCAACTTAACCACACATTTCAGGGTATTTTGCACTCTTCATCGAAATCTATATATGTAAAAGCGAAGCAATTACACTTCCCTCTCAAGCATTACTTATTTAGAAAACATCTTTCTCTTGTGGATTTTCGAAAAAAAATATTTCAAATGAATTCTGATTAATCACTTGCGCTAGTCTCTTATGCATATTCCACTTCTAAATACGGTCTTGTATTTCAAGTCTCGTTTTTAATGTTCCGTATTTAAAACATTTACTTTCAATCCAGAAAACAAAGTAATGTGTTTATATTTAATAATTATTACACACTTTTCGACTTAATACTACAGTTGAGACATATGTATTGAACAATAAACGTTCTAACACTTTACATGTGAAATAAGACGTGAACATTATGATACTCTCCCGTCCTGACAGCTCAAATTTGCAAATATCTGACGACATCTTCCATTATGACATCATATATTTGTAGTTCAGAGAAGTAACTGCATAGATTGCACTGTGATATTTTACGGTAAACCTTAACCTATCAGCGAAAACTTTATGATAAATATGATGACTTTCCTTAGTTATGTAGCAATAAACCGTCATCACCTCCGTATAGAGTTACTTCTCCCAATTCGTCTGATATGCAAGAACAATTTCTAAATCGAGACAAGCTATTAAAAAAATAAGTTGATGATACAAGGATATCAACAGTCCCGTTTAAAGTCAACATTTCGCAACATCTATGGTCAATGCAATGACTATGTTTACTTAACAATTACAAACTATCGTTAATGTCAATGTAGACTGATGATTTTCATAAAAATTGTTAGGCAATTATTTTAATACTGAACTGTCTACGGATTTTTCTGTTTGCGCAATCATGACAAGGAGCAAATAGCAGGTATGACTGGTCGACAGGGGATAGTAACTCCTTCATGGCACCTCATCGCACCTCTGTTTTTAGAGGTCTGTGGAGTTTGAGCTAATTACTGTTCGTTATCTTCATATTTCAAAAGCCGTCACGGTAGCTCAGTCGGTAGAGCGCTCTCTCCCTGAACAGAAGGTCGTGTGTTCGAATCACGGCCGCGACTGACCTGAGTCGATTTAAAATAGGTAGCAAATGTTCCTTCAACATGCGCTCGGCACTTTGAAGTTAAAGTTGCAGGTCTTTTGGATGAGACCTTAAAAACTGAGACCCCGTGTCACGAGGCGTTGGCTTGATAAAGAACCCTCACTGCTCAATGGCCCTTAGTGCCTACTGAAGGTCTAAATTTGAAGCCCTTCATCGGTATATGGTGATGTCTCTAAATGAATGAAGAATTTTCGAACGGGACGTAAAACAAAATATAATCAATCAATCGTATTTCAAAAGAATTTCTGAAATTGTTTGTAAAAGTTAGCAGCAATGTTTGCAGCAGGTTGAAATATAGTTTGTAGCAGTGTTTGTCGCGAGCTAACAGCTGGGTTTCCATATTTGGAAAATCTAGTGTCTGCTGCAGACATGGTAAAATGTTTGCTGTAAGCTTGCTGTATATTTGCTGCACACTTTCAGCTTCCTGTTTGCAAGTTTGCAGTAATGTCTGCAGCAAACGTGCAGCAAATATTTCCAGGAAGGTAAAATCTTTGGTAAGGGTACTCAGCAGGGAAGGTATTGGTTGACAGAGGCCGAAAGCAAAGTCAATAACTTTTGTACAACATTTTTTTTCCCCCCTGTCTCTGAAAGTAGGGGATATTAATTTGGGTGTGTGTGTCCGTCTGTCCGTCTGATTTCTCTCTTTCTGTAACACTTTCATTTCCACGCGATATCTCGAGAACCCTTTGAGCTTTCCCAATGAAATTTTACGTAGCAACTCCCTATGGCCTAAAGACAAACCCTATTGATTTTGAGGTCAAATGGTCAAAGGTCAAGGTAATAAATTCATAAATTCTGTTTGTTTTAACATTTTCGTTTTTCGCACAATATCTTGAGAAGTCTTTGAGCTTTTGCACTGAAATTTTACATAACAGCTACATGGGGCCCAAGGAAGACCTTAGCTTTTGAGGTTTTGCAATGATTTTTTATACCATAACTCCCTATGGCCTCTCTCACCCCTCTCAAAGTGTCCTGCCCCGTTTTTTTTTTTTTTTGTTTTTTTTTTTTATTGAAAGTCGCTTGGCACTATTTTAGCAAAGGGGCATGTTGAGAGTTATTTTATATATAATACAGGTTGTTGTCATACTTTATTTTCTAATTACATCTAATAGAACTGTTTAGTAAAGGCTAAATTAAACACCAAGTATTGTATAAAATTTTGACAATATCGAACGTGAATATTAACATAATATGTGACCTAATGTTTGCATTTAATTTTAAGTCTGATCAAGTGCCTTCTTGGTCTAGGGGTATGATTCTTGCTTAGCAAACGAGAGGTCCCGGATTCAAATCCCGGACGCCCCCCCCCCTTTTTTTTATTTTGATTTTGACATATGAAATGAAAAAGTTATGACGTCTGGCGTGCTCAATTAACTACTCATAAAATCATTATTACAGTGTGATAAATATTCTATATAAAACAATCTTCTATACATATATGAAAGAATAAGCAATCGAATATCCATATTGGCATTTTTTTTATTTTCTTCATTATACATGTATGCATTTAAAAATTCTGCAAATCCAGGGGAGGATGAGATCCGAACCCCGCCCCCCTCCCCTTCGAACTGCGCATGCTCTTTTTTCCCTAAACGGGGGACACAAATTCTCTGAATTAGCTTGTTACACTATATTTATAGTCTCAAATAAATATAAACACTCGTTATATAATATGTTGTTTAACGACATATGATCATACTTACAATGTAAAAAAAAAATTGTTAAGGAAAGTAGAAAAACCATATCATAAAATTATATCATAAAATACTCAATAATTTATAAATGAAGTAGGATTGTCTCTTCCGTACTAGCGTCTGTGTTTTTCGCTCTGAAATACCCCTAACAAAAAATGCTATAGTAAACTATAGTTAACTATATTATCAAAGTAAAAACTTTGGAAATTTTACTATAGTGAAAACTTTGGAACGTTTATTTACTAAAGTAACCTAGAGTTAACTATTGTTTACTATAGTATTTTTTTGTTAGGGACACCTCGATAATGAGAGTTCTGAACCACTCAGAAAGCATCAAAATTTCTGATCATTTAATAAATAAATAAAATATACATGTATCGAAAATCTGGCATATAATTTAAAACGCGAGTTCGTATTGCAATCCAACATATTGGTAGAATTTCAGATGGTTATTTCAGGCATGACCTAGTATAATTAAAGGAAATACGCAGGATATAGATTAACAAATTACCTGTGTATATTATTCTTCCTATCGATTTTCCAGCAGGAACAATTAAAATGACACTTGTTTCGTTATATGTGTAAGCTACTCCTCCATATTCTGTCCAGATATCATTATCTCTTTGTATAGAACCCATTCCAGGAAAAATATATTCCTCTCCCTTATATGTGACCTTGACCTGGACATCGACCTTAGCAGGAACTTCGTTAAAAGGATGTGATACTGTTATTGGACTCGTGCCGGAAATAGCTTCCATGTCGATCCATTCACTTATAAATGGTAGACGTATGCAATGTACTGAAATAAAACAATAACCTTTAATAACAATGTAAATGTAAAGTCAATTTAATATATATTAAGATGTTTTATTGATCCTTTCACCCAATTTTTGCACTTTTGGAAAAAAAATTACTCATTTAAAATGTCCCTTTTCTAGTTTCAGTTCTGTACTATATACGTATATCTAATGTCTAAAACACTTTTTGTATCAATACCGAAATACTGCTAGCATTAATATTTGATCAATTTTGATGCCAACGGGTCAAGGTCCCCATTAGCGCTAGTGAACCCGATTCTGTTTCAAGCAGAAACAATTCTGCTGAGAGAAAAGAAAAATTAGGAACGCAGTTTTTATGCGCACAAAAGATGGTCAAATTCTTCATTGTGTGGAATACGTTTTAATTGATGAATACGATGTACTTGTGGAAAAATTCAAAGCGAAAATGAATGGATTTGATGGTTATACTATCATTCCTCTAACCCCCCCCCCCCCCCCCCCGTACTTCAGGGCTTTGTAAGGAACCATTTTAAAGTAAGTTTCAAACCTTATTATTTCAAGCTATATATCATATTTGTTAAAACTTTTCCTATCCTTGTGTTTATATGATTATCAAAGCGTCTTGCGTGTCAAAACGAATAAATCTGTTAAGATGTTTTTTTTTTAAGATTTAAGGCTAAGAAACTGACCTTGTGACACGCATGTCCTGGATCAGATAGCTCCAAGATAAAAAAAAAAAAATGCTTGGCACTTCAATGAATGCATATACAAGTAGGTTGATATAGTTAAATGAATCAGACTTCCATTCAATACTGTAGACAAATATTTCCCTTCTAGTACACCATTGTGTAAAATCAGCAGTCAGAAGAAATTGGCGTAAATTCTTTCAAACGTACTATAAGTTGTACATTTAAAAAGGAGAACAAGATAACTCAATTCATGTATACTCAAATTTAAAACAATCAAATATTTAGATATTTAGGACAACGCTAATAACATTGTGTTTAATATTGATCTTGTGGAATCAATATTTTTCGAAAATCGATCATTAATACCACTTTGAATCTTAAAAGTCTAATATATTTTTTAAGGAAAATGAATTATATTTATTTGCACTGAAATTGTTACAAATTCCACTTCCAGTTCATATTTCCAATTAAATTTTAAGAGCCACCGATTTGTAAATATTTTGATTAAATCACTCGCATCTAGGCTAAATTTTGTTGGTGTGCATCAGCTGGTCACGGAAGTTCGCGGTATTTAAGGGCTTCATCATCAGTACAATGTCGTTCAGAACATTATTTGCTAGGAAAAAATCCCGTATTCTCTGTTACTATTTAACGGTAAGTTCTGTGTTTAACCAGATAACTGTATTAAGCCGATTCTGATGGATGAAGATTAACAATTAACATTCGACCTTGCCAATCAAATTTCACATTTTTTTTTTCACAAAGCTGGGAAAACCTTTTTCATGCAAATCACTGTAAAGATTTTAGAAAGTCAGAGTTACCGTTATTGCACCTCCATGACCAGCTGATGCACACCAACAAAATTTAGCCTAGATGTGGGTGATTTAATCATTTTTTTTACAAATCGCTGGCACTCAAAAATTAAACGGAAATATGAAAAGGAAGGGGAATTTCTAACAAATTTATTGATGTATGCATATTCCATGTTTTATTATGCTTTCAATAAATACTCGCGCGAAGTTTATGGGAGGTGGGGCGAACGACGAGAAAACTTGCAAGCCTTCGTTCTTTTAACTTAAAAGTCGGAAACGATATATTTAAAAACAGCTTATTGGTGTGTCGATCCAAGATTTAAAAATGAAAAAAAAATTGAAAAAAAGGGGCATCCAGCCCCAAAGTGCCCGTGCTACATGCAAATGTGTGCATTTTAACTCAAAGAAACAAGAAAATGTTTGTAAAAAAAAAAAATGGAGGGATGACCCAGAAACCATAAAAATGAACTTTTACTAAAAATATATGATTGCATTAATGCAATCAAGTCGTTTGTCAGTTTCAATTTATGTACTGATTTAAAATTTTAAGATAGTTCAATTTTATTTCTGTTGCACTGAGAACGGAAGCAATTCTTACTTTCATATATATCCCATGGCCGTAGGAACCGGGGGGGGGGGGGGGGGCACGGGGGGGGGGGGGGGTGCGTGCCCCCAATAATTTTGCCGATATGTAGATTACTATAGAAAACATAGCTACTATATGCCTGTGCCCCCTCAATAAAAACGCCTGATTGTTGATAGTGCCCTTATGACAAAGACAAACAAAATCTGTTCTAAATAAATGTTTTCAATACAATTTGAATTGATAACTAAAGAGGTATTGAGATTTTTATTTTGTGTCTTATACTGGATAAATTATTTATCATTTCAATTTTAATAATTCAAAAATATTGATTTTTTCTAGCACTCTAATAAAGGAGTGAATGCTTACAATAATTTACAGTGTTTAATTACTAAAAAGTCGATAAACAGCGGAAAAGATATAGGCATTTAACCTAAATGATGTATGTAGTTCCAAATCCATGAGGATTAGCAGTCATATCTAAACTACACAGATAACCTATAAATACACATTTTGATACCGCCTCATAGAAAAAAAAATCCATTATTTGTTCTCAAAAACACACACTTAGATAATCAATCTTATGATCATTTGGCGATCAACTTATTTCTACTTTAAAACTTACAGTTCAGAATATGCATTTGTGAGACTCGGCTTGATAAAGAATATTCCGGTACTCTCTTCTTGAAAATGGAGATAAGTATGTATTAGAAAGTGATTTTAAACCCTCTCTGTTCAATAGACGTATGTCTTATCTGTTTAAATTAGCTCATTTGAAAAGAAAAGCCATTACCTTGCCTTTAATCACTCATGAAGTATGAGAAAATGAACTTTCTTTACTCCAAAAAAAAAATTGAAATAAATATTGCAAGAATCATGTGTAAAAAATGGTTTCCTGAAAATTCTCTGATGTTCTTTGTAAACCGCGATTCTTTTAGCATATTAGCTCGCCAAAGTACAGATCAATCATTCTATTCACAATTGAGATTCTTCCTGAAAGTTGTAATCTATAGAGGTATCGTTCCAGGGTTTATTAACGAGAATGTACTATGGATAAAGTTGGCCTTTACATTATATTCTTTATCACGGCATAATTTCCTGTTTGTAGAAGTTAATGATAATGCTATGATATATTTCTTAATATATCTTATGGCATGTTAAAGACTACAATTAAACTCATACAAATAAAAATCACTTCACTTGTTAAGCATTTGACACCCCGCGCCTATCAAATGGGTTATAGAAATTGTGTTTTGCAATTGGCTTTTTACATCATCAAAGTAAAGTTGTTTTTTTTAAGAAGCGTTCATTTCTGATCTGGGAACAACTTTAACATATGATGAAATAAATTCATATACTTTGTCAAATAGGAGAGTACATGTATGTGTACAAAATCCTGCCAGCAATGTTTCTGTTTACAGACATGAATTAGGCCTTTGAACTGGATTTAGGTTTTCAAACTTTAAAAAACAATTCAGAAATAATTGGTTAAAGCGAATTTAAGTCAAAGATCTTATCTGCGCTCATTCACGTAAGAGGAGTAGAAATTATCATTGCAAGACCTCCAAATATAAAAATACTCCTAAAATATAACGGTTGTTTAACAAGTGAATGTGGCTATTTGTCCCATTTCTTTATTCATATCAAGTTATTACTTGCTATAGTCACATTCAGACTTATGCAAATTCATTTCTTCAAATTCACTCTTTCTTGATAATGTTACAATGACACGAAGCTTAGAATTTCTATGTCCGATGTAAAAACCATAACTGTGGCTTTCACCCACCAGTTCACACTTTGGCGAAGAAAATCAATTCTTTGATCTGACACAAACAAAGTCATTCTATTGAACTTCTTCATGAATTTCTAATTTCAAGTGTTTTAACCTTTCTCGAGATCGTATTTTGACAGACATGTTTCACACCAATTTTTTAGCAAACCCTAGACTTGTAACTTATTTTACTTCAAATAACTCTATTTACCTCATCAGTTCAGAAGGCTCTAGACACTAGACGTGTTTGAGCGGTAGACATAAGATGTTTATTCCTCCTAGACGTGTACCTCATTCCACATCTTTTTTTTCTAGGGTTAATTATAGTTGTTTTTGCCCTGTTCACAATTTATATTGAAGATTTATGAGATCGAGTTCGATCTTGACTTTGTCATCTTTTTCATTGTGTACAAACAGTTACTTTTTTTAAATACTGTAGATGAAAACTATAAGGAATACATTCTTTAAACTTACCTGGTAAATGAAACATTACCCATATAGCAAGATACAGTGGCTTTGGAATATGCATAATTTGAATTCCTGTGCATTCCGATCCCCAGTCATTAATGTCTGTTTCTCTGAGTGAAACCCCCTTTAAGTCTTGCTCCTCGTCTAGTTATAATTGGTATTGATCGATGTTTTTTTTTTTAAATGCGTAGATCTTTCTGTATCAATAACCAACCCAATGAAAAATTATAATTGAGAATCATTGCGCTTTTTCAATTTTATTTTTTTTTTTATTTCTAATAAGTATTTTATACCTTTTTAATGAGAAATCATACACTATTTCATCTGAGAAAAAATCCCGTAGTGCCGAAGATATTACTTTTTAAACTATAGACTCAAATGACAGTATTCCTATAATCCCATAAAAAATGTAACTTACCTGCAAAAGAAACGTTACTTATCTTCTTGTAAGTAAACAAAAATCGATTTAAAAAGCAAATACAAGCCGAAAAAGAGACTATGTGACAAATATTAATGTTCTAATTGTGAATAACAAG